ACTCACGCCTACTCCAGCCAGGGAGTCACCCCGGGGGCATACTCACTTTCCACACACATCACACAGCACTCCAGTAACGGAGGATACCCGGGGGCATCCCAACAAATCATTCCCCGCAAGAGAGCTGGCACAAAATTCCCAAGGTTGGCCTGACCTTACCCCAAATCTTACAAGGGGTCAAACATACACAGAGTTAGTCGAGGAGCCAAGTCCCGACTACAACACCCCTAGCACAAATCAGGGAACACCTGAGTTTTGGGAAAGTACAGAAACCCACACGAGCCCGAGCACAGAATGGGGTTCAGGGAATGGACAGCCTCCTGACAGGTCTTGGACTGACCTAGGAGGTTCTACAGAGACGCCCAGCAGTGGCTATCACTTCAAGGGGCCTGAGGGTCTACAGCTAGGTAGGACAACCAGGTCACAAAGCAACAGAAGCCCTGGCCTGACGAGCCCGGTGGGCAAGCAAGCAGGCCAGGCATCGGGGCACAGTCCTTGGAAGACACCAGGGCACAATAGAGAGAACAGGCTCACGCCTCCCTCCAGTCAGGGGACTTATGCCAGTAACCCAGAGCTAAGAAGGTCACAGAGAGCAAAGAAATCTCCTAAGTACCTAGAAGATTACATAACATTGCTGGCAAGGCAAAAGCCAGTAAACAGTGGGAGCACTGGGGAGCAAATTGTCGTATAAAATAAATGTTGTATGTTGGTAGTAGTTTTAGCCCGGGGGAAAGGGGTGTTATGTCCCGAGCCTTGCAAACGGCTCGGGCGTTTGCAGGCAGTCCCGGGCAGGTGCAAAGCTGCCCGGGACCAGACAGGCTGTCGCCAGCGCCGTGCGCATGCGCGGGTGCTGGCGCGGGAAAAGTAACCCATTTACCCGGGAGTTGCCTATATAAGAGGCTGCGAGGCGTTTGGGCGAGGCTGAAGCCATCTTCCTGTAAGCTGAACACTGAATAAAAGAAACTGAGAACTCCAGCTGCTTCTCGTGTCTGTGTCCCGCCACGGACTCAACAATCCCCATTCAGTTTTTCAGCCTATCGGTTACTGTTTAGGTTTAGGGGACATAAAGGATCTAATTATTTATATTTGAGGAAGTTAAATCCCCACAGCTCTTTCTTTTTGTCAACCCTAATGATTAGTCAACAAAGCACATTTTAAGTGCTATTAAAGGTTCAGCCAATAAAAGAGTGGAGGCTTGAGGTGTCTTTTGTCCTGTTGGCAGATAAACATGAGAACAGTCCTACTGGAGCTGCCCAAGACCCATCTTAGTCCAGTTATTCTCTTTCCCACACTGGCCAACCAAATGCTTCTGGCAAACTCACAAGGAAGATATGAAGGCATATCTTTCTGTTACTATTGTTCCTGTGACTGGCATCTGAAGGCATGCTCTCTTGAACTCTAAGTACTTCAATATGGATTCCTTCCTCATCCAATAACCTTTGGACAAGGTGTCCTTCCTAAGGGTCTCCAAATCTTTTTTAAAGAATCAAATAAGTGGTCATCATCACATCATGTGGCAATGAATTCCATAGGTTAATTATGCACTGTGTGAAGAAGCATTTTCTTGTTTTTTAAACATGTCTTTCCAAACACCTTCGCTGGATGACCTTTGAACTTTGCGATTTTAATAGAGGAACCTCAATTTCCTATTTTATGAAGGGCAGTTTTAATTAATATTAAGAACAAAAAAGACATGCAGCCAAGATCAAAAGACTTCTTGAAACCCTGAGTATTATCATTTAGTTCCAACTTATTTTTGGATACTTAAAACCCCAAAGAGAATCAAAGGCTTGTAGAAATATTCAGTAATCTTTTTTAGCGAGATCTTTGAACAAAGCTGTCTATAGCTTGGAGATTATAGAAGAGATAGGAAAGATTTTATATAGCACCTTTCACTGATGTTACATTAATTACAACATTAACACATTTTCATTTCATATTCATGTCTTACACACTAAACACTACTAACATAGCCTTGAGTAAGGTTTCAGGAGCTGAAGCAAGGTATAAGACTTTATTTATTAAAGCACATTAAAGCAAATAAAGAGATTGTCCTGAAATCTAAAGAAAGAAGTAAAACTACCTAGAAAAAAAATGATTCACACCCAGGTGCTCTGACAAAAAGGACCCTTTCTATGGTTGAAGTTCAGACTCCAACAGACTTGAGTGTTTTGCTGGTCTCTCTACTGTGTGGCCAAGAGTTCACTTACTGTACTACATTTAGTATCATTAAACTGAACAGACTGCATCATGGAAAAAAGCAACCTGATTGCCATTAAAATAAGCCAAGATTGATTTGTGTTTATATTTTTGCTTCCTTCCTGATCTTTCTTTTGCTTTTATACTTTGACTTTTAGATTGTAAGAATGTATATTTCAAATTGATTATTGATTCAAACTACTCTGAAGGCTTTTTTTTTTGGTTGAAGAATGGAATGAAAATGTTAATATTTATCTATGAATTACATTAAGTATTTTTGTGTATCTATGAATTTGGAAATAATTATGATTGCTAATACAAAAGCACTATATACTGTATCATTCTAATGGGAAATAAGGTGACCCATAGACATGTTCTGCTTCTTTTCCAGGTTCTGCTTCTTATTGAAGGACACGTTTTGAAACATCTTTTTTCTCCCTTCTGATGGTTCTTAACTTGAACCAGATGTGGAGCTTACACCTTTCCAAAAGAAGTCATGGATTGTTTTGAATAGTTAATAACCTACTAGAGACAGTTGTATTTTGGAAGACAGTTAAATGCTTTTATTGGGTATATGAGATAGGAAAGGACAGTTGGAGAGGAAAGATTACAGCAGTTGTCTCTTCCTACAAGTGTGTGAAGCAGTTGATGTGATAAAGGGTACCATTGTCTGAAAGAAAAACAATAGGTATAAAAGGAAACTAAGGATATATTTTATTTCCTTTCAGACTAGTCTGCATGATATTTCTGAACAAGAATAAGAACAAAACTACAGTGAGAACAAATGTTTGAAAAAAACATTTTTTGACCAAATGATGTTTCACAGGCATTAGAAAGGACAAATGAAGTTACCCTCTTCTGTTGCTATTTTTGCTAATTCCTCATCTGCCCACCTGCATGTACCACGTTTGCTGTTCTGTCTACAAACACTACTCCTGATTGGCTGATTGTAACATGAAATATATAACCACGTAGTCTTTTTTTTTTTAAAAAAAAATCAAATCTGTTTTGCAGGAAATGGTGGTTTACTCATGCTCATGTGTCACATAAGTGCATGTTAAAATCAAGATACCTGGGCATATATATGTGAACACCTACTATTTACTAAATCTCTGTTTGACCTTATTTTCTTCAAAGATATTCATTCCAGCTTATAGTTTTGTAAATATGTATTTATTAAACAAAACCAGTCACACAGCTTAAAGTTGTCAAGGTTACCAAACACTGTTTTAAAGGACTGGAGAATTAATAATTTAAGAACCTAAGAAAAGGGTGCTACTTCAGACTCAAATGCATCCAGTCAGGCAGACAGATTTCAGTAGTGATCAATTAGATAGTTCTGGGAAATCTCCAAAGAGGGAGCAAAAGTAACAAGCTTCTACTGCTTGCTCCTTTCACCTATATTTGTTTGTTCAATCAATCAATCAATTAAATTTATACAGCTGCCCATCTCACACAAAGCAACTCTGGGTGGCCTATAATTGCATTATTCAAAAGTTCAAAGATACTTTTTCTTGAATGACAACTAACGGTCACCTATGAATCGATGCCCCATCTTCTGGCAGGGAGCATCATAATTACAGATTTTTATAAAGGAGAAACTTCATTTTCTGAATAGAAGTTCCCTCCTATCAATTTCACTGGATGATCCATTCTTTATTCCCAATGCAGTTTAAGAAAAGCAGATGTGGTGCCATAATGGTTGCATTAGACCACATGACTGACTGGTCAAATATTTTTTCAGGCAATTGACTAATTCCTGAACATTTTGGAGGACGCAATTTGTTCTATGGCCTAAAAGGTTAAGTAGTATTAGGTTAGAAATCAGGAGACTCTGAGTTCTAGTCCTGCCGCCTTAGACATGAAAATTGATTGGGTGACTTTGGGCCAGTCACTCTCTCTCTCAATGCACCTCACCTCACAGGGTTGTTGTTGTGAGGAAAACAGGAAGAGGAAAGAATATTATGTCTGCTGCCTTGACATTTATGAAGTAAGTAAGTAAGTAAGTAAACAAATAAATACTCTCCTTCCCTACATGATGCTGAATTACATATAGGCAGAGCAGGTTATTTGATAACCCTGGAAGGAAAGGAGTGGGAAATAAAAACCAGGCTGCAAAGTGTAAAGGAAAATAATATCCGGGTAAAATAAAGAAAGCTGTTTATCTTAGAAAATGCTAGTATCAATAGAAAGGGAGGGCTTGGCGGTAGAGGTGTCCAGTTCAGGCTAAGTAAGATCACCCCATGTTATTATCTGGTCCTTCATTCCTGCAATAAAATTTATAGTATAATTTGCACTGCTCTTTAAAATCCCACGTATCATTTCCAGAGAGTAGAATACACCGTGACCTTGTGGGTCTGGGCACAGACAATACACACAGGTGCAGATGTTAGTCAGAAAGGGACCACTTTTGGAACCTTTCAGCCTTTTACAAAGGAGGCAGTTACGGTACTTCCTTTGTCCTTTTCCTCCAGAGGAAAGAGAATCCATGGCAAAATTGTGTTTAATGAAGAGAAGGAGGAGGGGGGACATGATAGCAGGGTTCCAATATCTAAGGGGCTGCCACAAAGAAGAGGGGGTCAAGCTATTCTCCAAAGTACCTGAAGGCAGGACAGGAAGCAATGGATGGAAACTAATCAACCAAGCTAGAACTAAGGAGAAATTTTCTTACAGTTAGAACAATTAATCAGTGGAATGACTTGCCTCCAGAAGTTGTGAATGCTCCAACACTGGAGGTTTTTAAGATGAGATTGGACAACCATTCCTCTGGAATGGTATAGGGTTTCCTGCCTGAGCAGAGGGGTTGGACTAGAAGACCTCCAAGCTCCCTTCCAACTCTGTTATTCTGTTATTCTCTGTGTGTCAGCAGCCTTTATCTTCTGTCCCTCCTGGTGTGGCTGCAGCAACTTTCACTTGCATAGAGTGTCACAAGGAATACCATGGCTCAGATTGTTCATAAATATTTCACTTTCTCAATATTTCACACATTTTTACCCCTTTCCCCACTTCTCTTCCTTTCTTTCATTAGATTTTGATACAACTAGCTCCAGAGAGACTCTTTAACACTTGTCCCTTCCTGGCACTTCCCAAATGCGCTGGACTGAAACTCCCATCAAGTATTACTGTATTATTAGCCATGTTGGCTGAGCATGAGAGCTGTGATCCAATATATCTGAGTGAGGAGAAAGGAGGAATGTGCTTGTCTGAAAATGGTACAGGCTCTCCTGCTTGAGCAGAGGGCTGGACTAGAAGACCTCCAAGGTCCCTTTCAGCTTTCCTCTGACTGAATCTTGGTGTTGAAAAGGCCCTGAAATCCCAATGCATTTGTTAGGGAACAGAAAGATCCCCATCACCCTTACCCGGTCGGGAGTGGTGGGGATTGTATTCCGAAGTCTCCGGTGGGCTCCCCGTCGGATCCAACTCTTCTTTCGACGAGACGGAGGGTGAGTCCTGCTCGCGCCCCTTCCTCGATTTCGTCCGCTCCCAGCCGACTTAAGTTTGGCCGCTCGTGGCGTGGAACTGGACGGGAAAGAGCCGCACGAAAACTTCGCGGAGGCGGGAGGGGGCGGAGGAGGAGGAGGCTGGCTCTGGGGAAGCCACACGGGGGGCGGCGGCGGCGGCCTCGGCGATCATGCAGAGGAGCCGCTCTGTGCACCAAGCTGTGGAGAAGGTGCGCCGAGGAGCCGCCGTGCAACGGCCGCCAAGAAACACAGCAGACTGGCCCACGCTGCAACCGCTGCAGGAGATCCAGCCGAGTCCAGCTTTTGCCCAACGCTCCGCGGCCGACTCCACTTCCTCCTCCTCCGTTGCCTCCTCGGCCGCTACCCCCTGACGAGCCCGGACGGGCGGTCCGAGCCCCTCTGCATGGATGTCAAGGCGGCGCCCAACGGGGTAGCCACCATCGAGGATCGAATCCTTCGGATCACCGGCTACTATGGCTACTACCCCGGGTACTCCAGCCAGAAAAGTAAGGAGAAAGCTGCGCGGCCGCGGACTGCGCCGCTGGGCAATTCGCGCGTGGCTGTTGCGCTGCGCTGGGTTGCGGGGTGGCTCGCTGGCTGAGGTAGCACCCCTCCCCCTCCCGCCCGCCCGCCAGCCTCCTCGAGCGGGAGGGTACAGTTTCATCAAGGGGTCTTGCAGGAAACCTGCGCAGAACTGAGCCGCTGGTTTTGGGAGCAGGGAAACGTCCTCGCTTCCTTTTTAACCCCCTCGTTCCCTGCGCGACTTTGCTGTCGCTCCTCCCGAGATGGTTTTTTTTTGTTTTTTAAAAAAACCAGGCAGCGAGCAGGGCAGGGTGGGGGTGGGGATGCCGGAGAAGGTGCGCTGGATTCTAGGGGGTCGAAGGGAGCGGACGACGGAGAGAGGAAGAGGTGCTGCGCCCCCTTTCCACGCTCTGCATCTGGGCTGGGAATGTCCACTTGCAACAAGCTGTTTCCTGATTTGCCGCGGAGGGCGGTCGCTTCTCCTCCCACCTCGTGCGAAAATGGTGGGCTCTGGCGGGAAGAGGGTGGGGGGAAGTCTTCGTGCTTGCTTGCGTAGGGGCGCGCGCGTTTGAAGGAGCAAACGGGGCGCCCCGCGAAAGGAGCCGCGCTGTTTGCGCATCTGTACCGCGAAAGTGCGGGTTGCAGCTGCACGTGCGAGCGAGCGAGCGAGCCGGGATCGCGCGCACGCTGGAGGATTACTGCATCGATGCTTGGCATGCCTGTGAAAGGGATGGGTGAGATCGCCAGCGGCGTAAAGAGGCAGTAATAAATGTCCTGCGGTGTTCGTTGCATGTGGGAATCAGGGTACGGTTCGTTGCGGTTCAAAGACGACCAAGCAGAAAAGGTGTCACAAGAGAGATTTAAAACTGTGAGGCATGGAGGGCATGACTAGAGGGAGATTTTTCATATGATTAAAACTTGTTTAAAAGGGATTGTAGAGAGATGCCAAGTAATGGTTGCAGGAAGGAGAGCGGTGTGGCTAGAGGAAATGCATTCCTTGTTGGATAACCGGTGTCTCGTTTTAAGTTTCTGAAATAAACTTAATAGTATGTTTCCCATGTTCAGGTGAAGTGATTCATAAAAGGAGAAAGGAGGGGGACAAGGTCCATTGGCCCCCTTGTTTGGAAAAGCTTCTGGAGTTTCAAATAGAAAATGAAGTTGTCCCCACAAAGTATGCAAGCATGAGCACATGGAGTGATGGCCACTCTGTTTTATGACTTGAAGGAAGACTGATTCACAGATGCTGAGAGCAGTTTATTTCTGACCATTTGCTGTGGCTGCTAAATGGAACAAATCATGTGCAGAGGCAACAGAGCCTTGGTCCTCCTTTCCCACTACCAGTGCCAAGCCTTTCCTTGGATAGTGGCCAAAGTATTCCTCTTATATGGCTCCTTAAGTTTGCGGCAATGCAGCCTTCCTATGCATATTTCACATATTTCCAGGTGGCCTATTTGATTTAAGCATTTATATTACCCTTTTTAGAAAGGTTAGAGCAGAGAACAATCACCTGTCAAGTGTAAGAAGAATGTTACTTCATGGTGACAAGTACACATCAAAAGTTACTACATTGGCTTCCACAGCTGTGCTTCCTTCAGAGAAGCCCTGGTCATCGTGACTGGGGATTTGCACACCTGAAATAAAGTAGGCTTGGAAGGCATTGAATTGGTATCATATTTATACATATATTTTTAAAAGTATAGCAGCAACTTGGTCTAGGAATATGGAGAATTGGTTTCTTCAATCATGATTCTTTCATGGTCATATTCTTTAAGTCCTTGACAGTTTTTCACCCCACCACATGTATATTCTCCAGACAGATGCTGGAGAACATCTGGCTGTGATAAAGATAACTTCTTCCACACTTTATAGGGGGCACTGAGAATGAACTGATCCAGCTTCTAGGTCAACAAAGTCATGGGTGGTTCAGGAGCCCTTTTGACATTTTAGAAACTTCCTTTGAATTGGGATCCATAAGGGGCAAGGTAGTGCTCCCCCCACAATTCTGGGATATTTGGGACATTCCTACTTAGTGAGACCCCATGCATTCCCAATGGGCAACTTCTCTATTATGTATTTTCATATGTTCTTTTCATAATGAATCCTCTTATTTGGAAGATACAGAGCGTTTACTTCTGTAGCCCAGAGCCAGTTCTGTGGACTCAATGCCTTCATATCTTTCCTATAACAGATCAGTTTTCCTGAAAGTGGCTGGATTGAGCTGAACATCTTCTGCCTGCAGAGCATGTACTCTGCCATTGAGTGATGATCCCTTCCCACTAGGGCAGTGGTAGAGGGGCGTCTATTGCATTGCCTGACTTCATACTCACAACATCATCTCTTCTGGCTCTGCAAAATGAAGACATGAAGCAAGAGAGAAAATCCTCTAAGATTTGCAGGGGTGTCTTGAGGATAGATTTTGACGCAAAAGCCCAAACTCTGGTATAATAGAAAACATTTTGAAGGAAGTGAATACATATTACTAACTAAAAGTCTGCATTCTGTGTGATATACAGAATTTAAATAGCTTAGCAGTAGTATTGGGGTCTTTGTTTTGTGGCAGGCTATGGTTTTCTTATTGCATTGACCAAGATGAATTACATACCATTCAGGATTCAGGCTCAGGTTCAAGTTCAAGTTCAGGCATGAGCATCTTGGAGGTAAAAGGAAGTGATCAGAGTACTGGGAAGAGGAGTTTGGAAAATCAGGGCAGTCATTGCAAAATAAGAGTAGATAATCTGATGCTCTTGGTAGTTGCCGGGTTCCTGTTCCCCCAGACCTCATTATTATTGTTGTTATTATTTAGAGCAGTGGTTCTCAACCTTTTTAATGCTGCGACCCCCAACTGGTCGTAAGTTGAGGACTACTCAATCGGTCGTAAGTCGGGGACTACTCAACTGGTGCAGCACCGTTTGCAGAATGGGACTTTTGGCGGGCTCAGCAGGGCAGAGAGAGCCTGGACAATTCCTATTGGCTTTTGAAAGCCAATAGAATTAGACTCTATTCAAGAGAGTCTATTCTATTGTCTTTCAAAAGCCAATAGAATAAAAGGGAGTAGCACAGCTAAGGAAAAGGGGGGAAAAATGGCGGACTGCGTTGTTTGGCGACCCCCGTGAAATGGTCATTCGACCCCACATGGGGTCCCGACCCACAGGTTGAGAACCACTGATTTATATTGTTTTGAATTTGTCATCTTGCAAAGCAAAGTGTCAGATTTTAGCATCACCTTTATTCTTAAGAATGCCTCTGGACTTCATCTTAAGGCATCTATTAAAAAGAAGGTAGGGAACTGCAATCTGTTAATTAATACTAGTAGCTATCCAGGGGGAAAACTCCTCCAAAATTATTCTGGAATGGTAGCAATAGCACTTAGACTTATAAACCACCTCACAGTGTTTTACAGCCCTCTCTAAGCAATTTACAGCATATTGCCCCCAACAATCTGGGTCCTCATTTTACCGACCTCGGAAGGATGGAAGGCTGAGTCAAGCTTGAGCTGGTAAGACTCGAACTGGCAAACTGCTGGCAGCTGGCAGAGAGCATCACAGTGGTAGATTCAAGGACTTGTGAGGCAGAATATTACTTCTTTGCTTTCTGAGTGATGGATTCTTTCTAATTTAGTTATGCACAATAGAGCAACCTTTTAGTGAACAGATAACTCTATTGTGGTAGTCATAGGGATGCCTGCCCCACAGCACCTCTTATGTGTGGTACCTCATAGTTCTACTCTTTCTCACGCCTTACCTAGAAATCTGTATTACTCTACAGATATTTATTTATTTATTTATTCATACATACATACATACATACATACATATCCAACACACTTTCCTCCTCCTATTTTCCCCACAACAACACTGGGAGGTAGGTTGGAGCTAAGAGAGAGCGACTGCCCTGAGGTCAACTAAGGCAGGACTTGAACTCGCAATCTCCCGGTTCCTAGCCTAGTGCCTTAACCACTAGATCAGAGGTGTCAAACTCGCAACGTCACGTGATGTGTCACGACGTATCTTGACTTTTTTTGCCATTGCTGGCAATGGGGTAGGCGTGGTTTCGCTATCATGCATCCGGCTCGCGGGCCGGCAGTTTGACACCCCTGCATAGACCAAGCTGACTCTCAGTTGGGATGAGATTATTTGATGGTATGAAGTGAAGTATTGTAGGGAATAAGGAAGATGACTTTGATGGAAATAATGCAAAACCCACTAGGGCCTAGGCCAGTGGTGGCGAACCTATGGCACAAGTGCCAGAGGTGGCACTCGGAGCCCTCTCTGTGGGCACGTGTGCCGTTGCCCCAGCCCCACCTCCCCCTGTGGCCCCCTCCTCACCAGCAGCCTCCCTGGAGGAGAATCGCCCCCGGATGCGGCCCACATGGAGCAACACAGCCAAGGACATAGCCGGGCAGCAGGAACACGACTCCACCCTCGCACCCCATAGCGTGCAGATGATGCTGTGGGGTGTGGTGCTGCAGGGCTGCCTGGGTGATCTGCGGGCCATGAAGGCAGTGCATGTCCCTGCAGGTGGGCGGGGCAGGGGGTGGGTGGGGGCGGAGCAGGCAGGGTGGGAGACGGATTGGGGGCATGGGGACGGGTTTTGGGCACTCGGACTCTAAAAGGTTTGCCATCACTGGCCTAAGCAAAAAAGGCTGGACATCTTGGGTATCTTCTTGAGTGATGTCTGCATTTTGAAGAATAGGTGGTAGCCATAACTTGCTTTTGGATAACTGCATGTTGTGTACCAGTTGTGTTCCTTCCTGGATCAGGAGGCATGTGCACGGTTTATTCATACTTCGGTCACCTTCTGAGTAGATTATTTCAATGTGCTCTACATAGGGCTGTCCTCGAAGAATATCTACAACTTTCAATTGCTCCAGAATGCTATGGTAGAGGCAATTATGGATGTGTCTCACTATGCCTGCATTACACCTTTGCGAACTCCATTTGCTCGCTGATGGCAGAAAACAGTTATTAAAGGAAATGAAGATTTA